CAAAAAAAAAAATTGAAGTTAGTACCTATACATGAGCAATAATATACTATTTGCCTTGCTGGGCATTTTAAGTTTTTTCCAATTACATCTATTTACCTTAAAATTTCTTGGTTTTGTCAAAGGCATTTTCTGTATCTATTAAGAGGAGCATGTAATTTCCATCTTTTAGTCTATTAATGCAATAAATTACATTTATTGACTTATATATAATAAAATATCCTTGTATCAATGGGATAAAATCAACTTGGTAATGTTGAATGATAGTTCTGATATTGAATTGGGTTTGCAAATATTTTGTTGAGAATATTTGACTATGTTCATCAGGGAGATTGGTCTGTAATTTTCTTTTTAACAATTTATCTAGTTTTTGTATTCATGTGATACTGTCTTCATTAAAGAGAGTTTGAGCCGGGCGGTGGTGGCGCACGCCTTTAATCCCAGCACTCGGGAGGCAGAGCCAGGCGGATCGCTGTGAGTTCGAGGCCAGCCTGGGCTACCAAGTGAGCTCCAGGAAAGGCGCAAAACTACGCAGAGAAACCCTGTCTCGAAAAACCAAAAAAACAAACAAAAAAAAAAAAACAAAAAAAAAAAAAGAGAGTTTGAAAGCTTGCTTTCTTTTTATATTTTAAGAAATAATTTGAGTAGTATCGCAATAATTCTTCTTTAAAGGTCTGATAGAATTCTGCAGGGAATCCATTTGGTCTTCTTTTTTGGTTGTTGTATTAGTTGGGAAAATTTTGATTACTTCTTCAATTTCATTGCTTGTTGTTTATATGTTTATTTCATCTTGGTTTAACTTTATTGTGTTATATTCTTTATAAATTCATCCATTTCTTTTAAGCTTATGATTTAGTAAACCATGGATTTTTAAGTTATGCCCTCATGATTTTCTGAATTCTGTTGATGTCTTTTTAACATCTCCCATTTCTTCTCTAGTTTTATTGTTTTGGGTCTTCTCTCTCCCTTTGGTTAATTTGGCTAAGAATTTGTCAACCTTGTTTATCATTTAAATAATCATCTCACTTCATTAATTCATTTTTGTGTGTGTTTGTTGATTTCTGTCCTTATTTTGATTATATCTTCTCATCTACTCTTGTTGGGTTTGTTTTGTTTGTAGTTTTCCAAGGCTTTAAGGCAGTGGTTCTCAACCTTCCTAATGTTATGACCCTTTAATAAAGTTCTTCATGTTGTGGTGACCACCCAACCATAAGATTGCTTCATTGCTACTTCATAACTGTAATTTTGCTACTGTTATGAATCATAATATAAATATCTGATATGCAGGATATCTGATATGTGACCCCCAAAGGGTTTGCTACCCACAGGTTGAGAACTGCTGTGTTAAGGTTATCAATTCATTTATTTGAAATCTCTGAAGTTTTTTTGATGTAGGCATTTAGTGCTATAAATGTTCCTCTTAGGACAGCCTTCATTACATTGCACATGTTATAATATGCTTTGTCTTCATTAATATATCATTCTTAGATTTTTTTCATTTCCTTCTGGAATTAATCTGACCCACAGTCAGTCAATAGTGTGTTATTCTCCATGAATTTATGCATTTCCTGCAGTTTCTATTGCTGTTGATATCTAGCCTTATTTTATTGTGGTCAAATGGAATATAAGATGTTATTTCTATTTTTCCTATATTTGTTGAGACTTGCTTTGTGTTCTAAAATATAATAATTTTTAGTTAAAGTTCCATGGCCTGAAGAGAAGTATGTGTATTCAGTATTTAAGTGTAATGTTCTGTAGAGGTTCATTTGATTTATGATATCATTTATCTCCAATGTTTCTCTGTTTATTTTTTTGTCAAAATAACCTATCTATTGTGAGAGTGGGATACTGAAGTTGCTCACTATCAGTTACTCTCACTATGTTGGGAATAATCTGTGATTTTACACCCATTAGTATTTTTTTTATGAAATTAGGCATATCTGTAATGGATGGGCATATTTTTAGAATTGGAAAAAAGTGAGCACTCAGTTGTTCGCTTTTTTGTCAAATTACAAGCTGCTTCCTAATCACAGTATTCAAGGATCTTCTTGATATGGAACCAATTAATTTTAAGCTTTATCTTTTAAGCAGAGCTTCTATTTTATATTTTCTGTAGTCAACTTTCTATTCATCTAATAGTCTGTTTCCAATGGAAACCCTTGTCTCTGGTATATTCTGTGCTAGGGTACTTTCATCTCCAATCTTCTCAGGCTGAAACACTGCTTGCAGCCTCTGCCCCAGGTGGTCTTCATACTTAACATGCTGTTTTATATCTCAGAGTTGCACAATGGCAGCCCTGAATCAATTTCCATTTTCACAGGAGAAGGAAACTAGTAAATGATTTTGCATGAAAGATTTGTTACAGGGGCACTGATTTGTTCCCCTGCTTTTCTTAACATTTTCTTTCCTGGAAAAAAACAATGCAACTGAAATTGAAGCTCCTGCCTCATTCTTCTTCTCCCCAGATAGTTTATCTATAGTTAATTAGCGGTGTCATGTCATATTTTTGTATAATTCCTCAGTAAATGAATTTGAACATCAAAAACAAAATATTCTGTAATTTTAACTTCTGAATAATGTTTTTCCAGATTTATTAAAGTCCACACACATAAATCTAGTTCATTCAGTTTCTCAGTTGACTCCTATTTTTTTGTTTCTTTATTTCTTGTTTCATTTTTATTTTTTGAGACAGGGTGTGTTAGGGTTCTCTAGAGGAAAATAACTTATAGAACACACACACACACACACACATATATATATATATATATATATATATATATATATATATATATATGGATATAATCTGACTTATTTTAATGGTTTATAGGCTATGGCCAAGAGAGTGCTAGGTAGGACATATGGTGAAGAATGTTTCTAAATCTCTGATATTTAAAATTTTTTGCTTATACCATGCCAATTTCCCAGTCTAAGGGCTAGGGAAAGCTAACTGTAAATGGTTGCAAAATATTCCACTAATGATGTGTCATACCTTATCTGGCCTGCCTTCTGAAACTGCATGCATGGCCAATCCAGCTTTTGCCTACAGTGACTATACAACTGTTCTCTACTCCTCTCTAGGAAAAGCCATGAGAGCAGTTATGGGAGCATTAACCCATTCTTTCTTTGGAAAGGAAATAGTTGACTAACTCATAATCACTATTATAAAAACAATAACAATTAACAATAACTATTAACATTGAGAACTTGCTCTGTGCCCAATGCAAAGATTTTTACATAAGCCATCTTACTAACTAGGAAACTAGCAGATGGACACAATGAGCTGTACTGTACACAACCAGAGGCACAGAGTCCTGTATTCCAGTTTCTTAAGGATGCTGAATACAGACCAAGCACTTACCTGCTATATCATCTTCTCAGTCCTTCTGAATCAGAATGGACACTGCAAACTATGAGAACAGGTTTAGCAGATGAAAAAGCAAAGGCCCAAGAGAAGTTTCCAAAAATATGTAGCTAGTGGTGGTGAGGCCAAGTTCAGACATATCGAAGGCATGTGTGTTTATAGTTCTTCTAACTGCTGCTGCTATGAGGCATTCACTCCCCTCAAAAAAACCAAAAAAACAAACAAACAAACAAAAAAAAGAGCTGCTTCCTCTGACTTAGACACCAGACTTGGTGTGTAGTATCTGGCCTGATGGGCAGAGAAACAGCTAGACTTTGGGCTTCCTTGACTATGTTGGAGAAAGCATACCCATTCGGTGTCTTCTGTCTCATATTTTTCTCTGTATGTCTCTACCCATCCCATAAGTTACTGAGTACCCTCCCTTTTTTTTCCAACCAAGAGAAAAAATATTTCATTTTCAAATAGGCTATACGGACAGTCTGATTTTCAGCTGACTTGGGTCCCCATGTGATTCTTCCCTGGAGCTCAGTTAACACACTTGTCATGATCTTTTCTTCTTTAGCAAGGCTTCTGTGCTCCTGCTGTTGTGCACAATGGCATTCACCTGGTTTCCAGAAACAGTTGGACTAAATCCTGCAATTTTGTGTCCAGAGCATTTATCTGCAACTTGAGACAGTTTCAGCAAGACCTGAAACTGGCCTCCACACAGGAGATAACTTACACTTTACTTGTCTGGCAGATAGTTTTAGTCTTCTGTCCAACTTTTTGAGAGATGGAATTTTGGAAGTATTTTCTTAAGCTTTCATCATTCTTATTTTGATTTTCCTTGCCTGGTGAACCCTAGGTTTTCTCATCACCTGGATCAGTACAAGAAGGAGTGATTCTTGCAGGTGTTAGGGGTTTTCTCCAAAAGCAATGAGACTTGCAGTACCAGCCAGTGACTTCTGGATTTAAGCCAAGTCTCAGGTGGCTCTTGGTTTCTTCCAACCCAACTGATTTTGACATGGAAAATGTTTCTTTTTCTTTCATATACTATTCTCTTCAAATAGTGTATAGAAACTATAGAAATAAATCAGAAAATTTCCAAACCTGCTGAGATCACTTAAGAATTAAAAGAACAGGCGGTGGTGGAGCACACCTTTAATCCTAGTACTTGGGAGGCAGAGGCAGGTGGGTTTCTGTGAGTTCGAGGCGAGCCTGGTTTACAGCACGAGTTCCCGGACAGGCAAGGCTATAAAAGGACAGGGATGATTTGTTTCGTGCCCTAATCTCTGGAATCGAGAACTCCCAGCAAGGAAAGACCTCAAGGACTTTGGGAGCTGGAAGGAAGCCTCAGACACCCGGCACTGAGCAGGCTTGGTCCCTAGCAGACTTTCTCTGTTCCACCCTCCCATAGAAAAGCGGGGGAGGGCACAGAGGAGAATGTTTGGGAGTAGTGGCTGGAGGTAAGGAGGTGGGGTATTCCTGGAGCTAGGGAAGATGGGGAATAGTCCGTAGGAGACAAAAGAGAGAGGACATCTGACAGGAGGCTAGGGGTAGGGTGGCGGCCCGGGAAACAGAACGACAAGGGGGCGGGGACACCTTGCTGCGGGCCACCAGGCGGGGACACCAGGTGTAGGAGGCACCGTGTCCTGCATGGGAGGAGCGAGCTGGCGCCGGAGTGATTCACCTTTCCCGGCCCTTCTGGCTCGCCCCAACTCCGGATCTGGGCGGAGGGGCCCTGGGGCGTGTTTCCCCACCCCTTGCGGACTTCGGAACTGACTCGGACTGACTGGCGCCGGAAAAGGAGTGAGCTCTACTGGACGACAGTGGGTTTGGGTCCTGAAAGAATGCGGGCCCTGCCGGCTGTGGACGCGCTTGCCAGAATGCGACCACCTCTCCGGGACCCCAGGGCGGCAGAGGACACTCACACCGCGAAGCCCGCGTGCAAGAGCGCGGTGGAGAGACTAGCGGCTGACCGTGCCAAGTTTGTTCGTAGCACGCCAAGATCCAGCCGGGGTCCTGTTTCAGAGTGCAGGGTCCCTGAGGCCCCAGAGGTGCAGCACCACAACCCAATCCCTTCGGCTCTTGCCCCAGCTCCTGTAACCCGCAGGGCTCTCTCTCGAAAGCCTCTGAGACCCGATTCGTTGGTCATCTACCGACAAAAATGCGAATTCGTCCGAGGGCCAGGCGCAGACTCTTCCAGAGCGGGGCTGGTGAAGAAATTTTTCCAGGGGTCTATCAAGGACAAAATGCCAGTGACCCCTGAGACGACCAGAGAGTCAGGTGAGGACAAGACGAAGGAAACAGAGGCCACTTGGACCAAGTTCGGCCAGACGGCAGCCACTAGCCCAGTTTCTATGTTACCAACTCCGGCCCCTGTAGTGGCCATGAAGTACCCAGACGTGCCTTTGGAGGTGGCGTCTAAGGTTCCAGTCGCACCCTCCGGCATGGAGCTACGGGTGTCGCGTCGCAGAGGATTGCAGCGCTCTCAGTCAGATCTCAGCTCCCGCTACTCGATAGCCAGGGCTGAGTCCGACTCTGACACCTTCTTCCTGTATTGCGGCCTGGAACCTGAAGTGGTGGAGGCCCTTGGGAGGGAGAACTTCTCTGCTGGATCCGACTGTGTTACACTCAAAGTGCGTAGCGTAAGCATGGCTACTTCTGATAGTAGCTTCTCCAGGCGTAGCGAGGACGGATTGCAAGAAGAGGAGCTCATTGAACAGGTGCCTAGCACCACCTCTGTGATAGAAAGGAACGCCCGTATCATAAAGTGGCTGTTCACCTGCAAGAAGGCCAAAGAAACCCCTAGTCAGAGATTGCAGGGACCTGCCTGACTGACATCTGATCCAGGTTAGTGCCAGGAAGCTGGAGGGTGGGGTGTGTGCTTATATGTGTTGGCTAACCTGGGTGCTGGCCAATCACAGCTCATGGTTAGAATACAGCGCCTACAGTATGAATATACCCAGTTGCCCTCCTTGTGTTGAATTTGAGTACTTGGAAAGGTCATTAAGTTAACGCTCTCCCTGCAGTGTAAATGGTAGAAATCTGAAGTACTAAATACGTCCAGCCAGCAGTTTCATCTCCTGTTAATTCCTGTTGTGAAAGTAACTTCTGAGCCTTAGGCAATTACGTACCCGGACAAAACTTCTGGTGGGCCTTTCTGACGTCCTCAGTGCATTCTCAGCACCCGGTAAGTCCTGATATCTCACTTCCAGCAGAAAGGAAGGCTCTAGAGGATCCCCACCCCACCCCAGGCTTTGAGATCTTGAGAACTTGGTACTCCTTTACCAAGAAAATGTGTGTGTGTGTGTGTGTGTGTGTGTGTGTGTGTGTGTGTGTGTGTGTGTGCCACTGATGATAATACGGAAGTGTAAGCACCTTCTGGTCCAGGAAGTAACCACATACTTCTCTGGCCTCAGCTTGTACTAAGGCAATAAGGCTGCACACCTTCCCTCCTTCTGATTTGTCTAATGTATCTTGGGAGTAGGAAGGAGAAGACACCTTTATAGGAGTGTTTTTGAGAACAAGGCATTTAAACATTTTAACAGCTTTTTTTTTTTTTTAAATTCTGCTTTGAGAGCAAGTTACTGTGAAAATGTTTTAAAAATTACATTTTCTGGCACTGAGATAAATACTAACTGAAGACACCTTATTAGAAAGTAGAATCTCATGGGGCAGACACTTAGATGCTTATATTCAGCCAACTTGTGTTTATGAACAAGCTGTTGAGAAGTCTTTATACAGATATAAAAATAGTAAGAAGTGAATTAATTTTTCTTGATTTCAGAAGGCTCAAACTTAAGTTCTTTCTTATAATTTATTGAAGATTTGTATATTACATCAGTACAAGTCCCCAAGGAATGTATACAAGCAATAACAAGAAGAATGACAGAAAAATTACATCAATTTGTATTTTCACAAAATTGCCTTTGAATCTGAGATATGTGAATGATGGCAAGGGTCTACCATGGTGTAGCTGTGAGTGCTGGGGCAGAAAGGAGGGTAGTAGAAGAGTGGGTGTAGAGAGAAGGCACTAGCAAAGGTCCATCTCACATGCACATATGTTAGGGCTGACTTGCTTTGTCTATAAAAGGAAAGGAGACAGAGAAAGGTTGTTCAGCTTCTGTGTTTTATTTTCTGTATAGTCAATAATCTGTATATTTTTGTTCTGAGAGTGAAACACAAGAGAAGAAAAAAATGCCTATTAGAATGAGGAGTAAGAAAACATAAATTGCCATGAGATAAATATTGGTGAGGTAACAAGATGGCATACAGATAAGCTAAAGAGGATATTCACTCAGATTTCCTCAAGGCTTCTGGATGGTTTTAGCAGTCACCACATGAAATTTACCTCATAAACTTACTCCCCTTGACCCACAAAGCAGCCTGTGCTGTACAGCACTGCAGAGATATCTGGAACATTGGAAAGATGAAGTGACATTCTTGGGCTTTCTCAGCTCACTGAGTTGGTATTTGTTTGGGATCAGAACTCCATTCACTTACACAAGTCTAGGTGGCTAGCACCAAAGCTTGCAGCAAAGTATGCACATGTGGTTCTAGCTTTTCTTCCCGATTACCTTTGTGTTGAAATAGGATTTTATGAAAATTACAGAATATTTGAGATGAACAAAGGTGGGATTTATAAATGAAAGACTATAAAGGCCGTTTACATTGGTGGTTCACAATCTGTGGGTTGTAGACCCCTTTGGAGTGCTAACAACCCTCGCATAGGTGTCACCTAAGATCATTGTAAAACACAGATATTTACATTACTATCCATAGCAGTAGAAAAATTACAGTTATGCAGCTGGAGAGATGGCTCAGAGGTTAAGAGCACTGGCTCCTCCTCCAGAGGTCCCAAGTTCAATTCCCAGCAACCACATGGTGGCTCACAACCATCTACAATGAGATCTGGTGCCCTCTTCTGGCCTGCATGCATACATGCAGGCAGAACACTTTACATAATAAATAAATAAATCTTATAAAAAAGAAAGAAAAATTATGAAGTAGCAAGGAAAAAATTATGAAAAGTTATGAAGTAGCAAGGAAAATAATTTTATGGTTGAGGGTCACTACACATGAGGAGCATGTATTAAAGGGCCAAAGCATTAGGAAGGTTGACAACCACTTATATTAATGAATGTTTTGTTCACTTAATAGGCAGGGACATAATTTATAATAAAATATCCTACTCAGAATTAAAGTACAGGTTTATAAGTTTCTTACCCTGTGGAATAAAATTGAAAATAGCATAACTGCATACAGTTCATAGAATTTTCACACCACCCCCTAAGGACATGTGAGTAGATGGATGGTCATACATGGACAATTTTAATAGTGTTTTCCAGAGTATAAATCATGAGAATTGGCCTTCTATTTTTATGGTTTTAAATATCATCCTGTCAGGTTTTTCTGACTTCTTAAAAATAAAATATACACATTGTTAGTTTTTATATTAGCATAATAGAGATAACTTGTCCTTTGGGATAGTTAGAGATAAACATGGCTTGATTTTTGGACAAAAAAAATCAAATATTCACAGCCACCTTCACATTTCCCCTTTGTAAAGAAAAGGTACCTGTGAAGCCCTAAATTGTGTTACATATTTGGAAGACAGGTACTCTGTTTACTTTTGGTCTACACTGGGAGCTCTACAGCTGTCTCCAGGAACAGAGTATAAGCAAACAAGTGACCCAAAGGCACTGAGGTCATCCTTTTCTGCTTCCTGGTCAGCACCTGGTCCTATTGGAGATACTAGTATTTGAAAAGGATGGAATCTCTGCCTCAAGTGTTCCACTGGACAGCCTACCTTATTTTCAGTTTTGTTGTCCAGCCCTAGGCCAGTATTCCTAGGTGGAATATTTGTCAGTATTCTACCCCATGAGTTGTTGAAGGAAAAGAAAAATTTCAAAATTCCAGGAAAAGGCTTGTAGAGAGAGAGATTTTTCTATCAAAGAAGCCACATAAAAGTTCTCTTTAATATACCTAAAGGTTTTTTTCAAAATTTAAAACACAAATAGATGTTTTTAAAATAATAGAACTATTATAAAACCAAAGAAGGAGAGGCCATATTCTGTTGTAAATTTTATAGCAGACAAGATGTTACTCATGGCTTATTTCTGTTTTCTCCACAGGAAGCAAACTTTTCCAGTGATGAAGGCACCCTTAAATTGAAGAGACTCATGAGGCATGATGTACCCCAACAATACATAAGTGCTGCTCTCTAGGAATAAAGTACTCTGTTGACAAGCTTGTGTATTAGCCATGATGAAGTGCTGTGGTGAAGATGGAAGGGAGATGTTAGTAGCTATGAGAGGCATTCTCCTTATAAGAGTATATCTCAAAAGGCAGCTGAAGAAATGACAGCTGTTGGAAAATATCTTCAGGACATTTTTTTTTGCCTGACTTACTGACAGTTTCTGCAATGTATTGTGATAATATGTAAATAGATGCTTTTAAAGAAAAGAAGAAAGTATGAAATCAAGCATGGATGCAATAGTATGCTCTTTGCAACTAACTTATGCCACTTAACGTTCTGAGCACAAAGAGGTATTCTGCTTAAGTGCTATGGCTGAGACAATCACCCAACACACACACACACCGGTGTCCAAGCTTTACTATAACTAAACTGTAGTTATTCCCATACTATACAACTGATAGTCTTTTGTGATGATTTGAGAGGACATTTAAAATCACTTGAGGGCTTCATGTTCATTTTGTTAATGTCACTTTCTTCTAGGTCATAAGTATGTGGGAACACCCATTGGGAGATTCATGGGAATAGAGATCCTGCTTTAAAAAGAAAAGTACTTTTTTTTACTTCATCAGTGACTTGAGATTTGGCCAATATTCATGGAGTCCTTCTGTTAGTTCTTTAACAATGTTCCCAATAGAATGTGCTCCATAACACCCTCATTCTTACCTTCTAATTGGGATAGAAACTGGTTTACCCATAAGGAGCACTTCCCTGGCCTGAGGTCTGGTTCCGCTTCACTTACCATGGAATTAGGTTTAGCATCAATTCATTGCTTGCAGAGGACATGTTTGGAAGCAAAGGCTGATTCTGGGGTTTGAGAGGTGCTAGGTTCTGAGTATGGGTAACAAGTTACTGGGCCCCTGGTTGTGAACTTGTCTGTAACATTCACAATAAAAGGATTTTAGATTCAGTATCTTCTGAGAGAATTATGTGTGAACAACAACCCAAAAAAATTGTCAGCCAATCCTTTGAAAGTTTACTATATTTTTTCAAAACGTATTCTTTAATCTTAAAATATAAGATCTGAAAAAAGAGTATGGAAGAAATTTCCAAATGGTAATATTTTATGTCATTCCATTTTGAAATGTCCTTGCTTTTAGTTAAAAATATATTATGTGTAACTGTAATTTTACTTTGAGTAGTTTTTTAGTTACAAAAATATTTCCTTTTATATTTTCTAGTCCTCAAGTGGGTTTCTTTTCTTTCATTTTGTATAATTTTCTCTTTTGTTATCTTTTCATACATATTGTTTATTTGAATGTTTATCTTTTGTTTGCAAGTGGAGCTCTGTGAGACTTATTTCAAATATGTCACAGATGACATGTTTGAGGTTTTGCCTCTCAAGAGAGCTTGGGAAGTGTGCCCTGTGCTACCCCACCAGTGCTTCTGTTATGCATGTCACTGTACCACACTTAATTTTAAAAGGTGTCATGATGACAGCAATTTGTAAAAGATCTTTCAGTATGTGCAATTCATTATTTTCAGGTGTCCCCATTATATATATGTGAATGTCTTGAGAAAAATTTTGGGGATGGAGAGATGACTCAGCAGTTAAGAAGGCATGGGATTTATACTTTTTTCACCTGTGTATTAAGTAAGTTACTGCTGCAAAGAATAGCATATAAATAATGCAATTAAATATGTTGGCAAGAAGAAAGATAGTAATGATAATCATCCAACAGTGGCCTTTTGAACTGCTATATGTGAATACAGTAGCAGTATCCAGATTAAATGTGCTAGGGATTTTCTTCATTCTTTATGCAAATGTTTATATCCACATCTCTCTGGCAGTAGAAGGAAAGTTGACTTCGTGGTCTCTGCTTGTTCCAATAGTTCACAGTCTAACGCAATGCTACAGCTGGTACTGCCTTGACCTTGACTTATGACTTCCAACAGGTGAGGCAATCCTGAAGTAAGATTGTGGTACTGTGATCTTCCTCTCCTCATCAAAGGAAAGTCTTTCAAGAGTTGGCCAATGGAGATGCATAGTGTTTGAAGCTTCAGCTCTCCTATATATGTATATATTTACTATATGGTTGCAGTAAAACTATTTTAGAGTATCTAGCTCTTTGGTTTTCTTTAAATATATTATGAATTATTTAAAAATATTTCTTTTCGTGTTTTAGTACTAGCATCTATCACTGAAAAAATGAACATCAAAATAAAATGAATACACTATTTGTACCTTATCATTAGCTCACTCAAGGGGAGGTTACTGTGAATTTCTTAGGTTGGTTCCCTATCTGTCCGACACAGCTGGGTATGTTTGAACCTGAAGGTGAGGAAGTGTGGTCTTTCTTGGTGCACTGACCAAGCCAGGCTGGTTTCACTTTCAGTCTTGCTATGACTTATGCCTACACTGAACAGTATCCAGGGGATCCAATGCCTTCTTCTGGCCTTCACACATTCATTCACACATGTGATGCACATAAGCTCACTCAACTAACACACATACACACAATTTAAAAAAAATTCTTAAATGAAAATAGAATTGTTTTTCCTTATCAATTAGGAATCTGAACTACAAGATCAGAATTGCCTGGATCCTGGCTTCAGTAGACCTGGTGCTCAATTTGAACTTAAGACTTTTGCCAGAGAAGGAAACTGAAGATTTTTAAATTTCAGATACCCACTCTCCACTTTTGTGGTATGAAAACAACAGTGCTATTTATTAAAAGTTACTTTCCTAGGCTGTCATTGATGACAATGACAGAATTCACTCACCTGTGTATACTGAGGATTCTAGTACTAAAGCTGATATTCACCCAGCTCCCTAACCCATCACACACACACCCCAATTTCAGTGTGAAACACGATAACAAAGAAAGAGAGACGATAGACAGATCAATGTATTGACATAGATAAATTATAGAAATGAAGGCAGAGAACATGTAAAGAAAGAAACAAAGTAAGGTAAGGAAAGAATAGTGTATCTAGATATCTGATTTATGAATTTATAGCCTTGTTTCATTCATGGTTTCTATTTAATATAGTATGCCTGAACCAATGGATCTTAAAGTCCAAATCATATAAAGAGAATCAAAAGGTAAGAGAAGCATACCTTTTAAAATGGCAGATAAATCTGTACACTAAATTATCTGTTTTGTAACTTTGAAGTTTACACTGAAGAAAAAGTACTCACAAATGATGCCCAAGACAACCTACATCTAGTTGTTTGTTTGTCAGGAACTATATGCTTCCTCTGTATTTATTTATTAAGAGTACACCTTTCCAACTTAGGCAAATAATAAGGGGGTCAGTGTCACAAACTGTAGAGTGTTTCTCCCAGTATAATTTTAAGGCTACTCCTCCGACACACTCCAGTACAAGCAATAGGCTTACCCATCCTGTGGTCAGTGAGGACAGTATGTCAGGACTTGGAGATGTGTTTTCAACCTACTTAGCAAGTCAGGATTGCAGTGTCAACATTAGGTACCCTAAGTGCTCCTGTGTGGGCCTGCTTACAGGTATTCATGAAGTACCAAAACAAAATATCAGGTAGGCATCTGGAGAAGTGAGCAGAGACCCACCCATGCAGAATAAAGACAGTCATGAGTAAAATCAAAATTCAGCCCTCACATCACCCAGGTGAAGCATGGACCTCAAGCTCACAAAACTTCTTAGTGCACACTATGTCCTAAGAGGTGAGCCCTCCCATTTCTTGTTCTGCTTGGGAGTCCTAGCACATGTAGGGAAATTTTAGTACAGCCACCAGCTGCACTGTTTAAAGAGATCTCCCAGTTTAGGTTCCAAGTCCTAAGAAAGCCCTAAGTCAAGGGGAAGAGAAAGCTGCACACTCTAGGAGGGACCCTTGACTGACGCTGCTCCATGACAAGCTCTTGATTTCACTCCACTTCCCACTTTCTGAGGAAACTAGTGTCAGAACCACAAGTACTGGTCTGTCATTTTCACTCTTGCTCTACATTCAGCTTGCACTATTAGGGGTCATGTCAGAATCAAGCAACTATAGATGTTTCTTGACTGAAGGAACTGGCTGAATCCAGTTTCCTTTGTTTGGAGGCACATGGCTGAGAGGAGGTTGAGAAGAAACTCCTTAGGAGTGGGAGGTTTCCAGGGGGAAGTATGCAGATACTGTGCTTGCTGTTTACACAACTCTAGTGATGTCTGAAGGTCCCATTGCTCTAGATATGAGGGAGCTTCTTAGATTAAAGAATTGTCAAGTAAGAATTTGAGCCCAAATCTGCCTGACTCAGATACTCTTCACTGGGCTAGTTTATGAAAAGAATTTAACGTCTACCAGGTTTTTTGTTGTTGTTGTTGTTTTTTGTTTTGTTTTGTTTTGTTTTGTTTTCCATCTAAAGGTCACAGTCTGACTCAGCCCACCCAAAACCTAGACTTGAGCTGAGTTTTGCCATCATATGCTGCACTTGAGTTTCTGGAAGGACCTGTATTTTGTTAGCTGAAACTGGAGCCATGGTGATGCTGGTGCTGCCCCACACCTCATACAGGGGAACAATTCAAAGCAGCAGATTTCCATATAGCAGGGAAGGACTCCTGTTTGAGATGATATTGATAATTTTATGTAAGATGATACGTGCTTTCAAAAGAGTAACAAAAAATTGGAGTGAAAACAAGCAAAGTCTACCAGGAGATTTGAACAGAGGTTATCAGTGCCCTACGGGAGCAAACTGCTTAGTCAGATGTCGGCTTGATTTTTGTCAGCACAAAGTCTACTGGTGAGCAGAATGCAAAGTGTAGTGCTTCACATTTTACATGAACCACAAGGTGGATAAGAAGGCAGGAGCTTCGAGGACACCTCAGAGATGTCTGGCAGAACCATAATTGCCTCATTGGTAGGTGACCATTGACTTTTATATAAATGGGAAAGATCAAAGCAATAAAAATACCTGGACCTCCCTTAAATTCACTTCTAAGTACTGGAAAGTTTTACACAGTCTCAGGATTGTAACTTTTTTTTCTTCAATAAAAAAAATGTCGCCGGGCGGTGGTGGCGCACGCCTTTAATCCCAGCACTTGGGAGGCAGAGGCAGGCGGATCTCTGTGAGTTCGAGGCCAGCCTGGGCTACCAAGT